GTTTGCTGATCTTCGCAGGGGCGTAAGGGCCTCTGACAAACTCCAAACCATCCACTCACGCAGTGGAGGAGTGTCAGGGCACTCAAAGCCGTTATGGACGACCTAGTGGCCGTCCCGGACCATGGGGTTACTGAGTCCCAACTGGTCCAACTCTTCTATCGTGCCATGTCGGAGCCCTTGCGAGGGCACTTCTTTGACAAGTCCCAACAGCCCACGATGATGTGTGATGCGCTCAGTAGAGAAGTGGTGCTGTTCGAGGCAAAGTCGATGTCAGTTTCCACTTCTGGCACAAAGACTTAGATAAGGGCAACAAGTGGAAAGGTCATACCATCTCTGGCCAAGTCAGGGCCAAGGATCACATGATCCTTACGTTGGAGGAAGGTGGTACTGATGAAGTCCCCTACAGCCAGATAGAGTGGGGACTTGAGGAGGAGGACAGCAGCGTAGGACAGGGGAGGTCTTATGCTGCTGTAGCGGCTGGAGGGAGGCCGCAAAGTAGAGGAGGAGGCCAGGGCCAAAGGGGCCAGGCCATGGGAGGCCGAGGATCGGACGCTCAGGAAGTTGGCGGCCAAAGGGACCGCCAAGAGGGAGGTAGGGGTCAAGGTCCCCCGCAAAATCGTCAGGGTCCTAGCCAGTCCCCACAACGACGAGGTGGTAGGTCACCTCAAAGGTCAGGAGGTTGGCACCAAGGCTGGCCACAAGGCCGGCCCTGGGAAGATTTGGGCCTGGACCAAAAAAATTGGCAGCAGCGGATGGAGCAGGGGTGACCCTGCCCATATCATCAAATATTGCCCTAAATATAGACAGGCCCGGTGGGCTGCCCAGGAGTCAAAAGGCAGCCGCCGGTAGGGGTGGCAACTGCCCCTACTTCTAGGCCATGTGGGGAAGCGAGTGCGCGCACAGAGGAACCTCCCACACCACATTTGCCTTCGGCAGAGGTTGCAGGCTCGTGCCTAGTTAGTTGTCCAGAGACTGCTTGTGTCAGCGTCTCTCTAGGCACGTCCCTCACAGGCGTGGCGGAGGAATTGAAAGAGAGGATGCCAGCCTGGGCCAAGATGAAGAAAGATAAAGAAATTAAAGCGCGCATTGATAGAGTATCCCGTCCTCAAGGTAGCAGATCCGTCCTTGCCATTTGTCGCCACTACGGACGCAAGTCAGTATGGGATAGGCGTCGTATTGCAGCAAGACGACGGCAATGGCTATAGACCCGTAGAGTTCATGTCAGCGAGGATGCCCTCAGAGAAGGTTGCTACCTCAACGTATGAGCGAGAACTCTACGCTCTCAGGCAGGCCTTAGAGCACTGGAAGCATTACCTGCTTGGGAGGCACTTTAAAGTGTATTCAGACCATGAGACGCTTAGATGGTTGAAGACACAGGCCAAGATGACACCTAAGTTGACTAGGTGGGCCACAGAGATAGACCAGTATGACTTTGAGCTCAAGCCAGTGAAGGGCAAGTACAATGTACTTGCGGATGCTCTGAGTAGGAGATCAGACTACTTTGGAGCTATAGTTCACTATCTGGACATAGGGAGAGACCTGCAGGAGAAAGTTAGACAAGCGCATGTGCAGGACCCTATCTATAGTGACCTCCTTAAGAAAGTCAAAGAGGCCCCAGAGACTCAGCCAGATTACTGCACTACAGAGGGGCTATTGTTTGAGAAGACTAATCTAGTAGACCGCCTATGCGTTCCCAACAGTGAGGAGATCCGCAGTCTGATCCTAGGGGAATGCCATGATACCGAGGGACACTTTGGTTGGAAAAAGACTTTAGCCAACCTGATGCACGCGTACACATGGCCAGGAATGAAAAACGACTGCATAGAATATGTCCGCAGTTGCAAAGTCTGTCAGCGGAACAAGACCACTACGCGTGCCCCTCTAGGTCTTCTCAGACCCTTGCCTATTCCAGACCAGCCTGGAGATTCAGTCTCCATTGACTTCATGAATGCCGGTGTCAAGAGTAGGCACGGCAAGAGCCAAGTCATGGTCGTAGTTGATATATTTAGCAAGTATGCTATTTTTGTTCCTTTGCCCGCAGAGGCACTTACAGAGTTTGTGATCCAGAAGTTTTTCGATTTTTGGGTTAGTGAACATGGAGTCCCGTTGTAAATAATTAGTGATAGAGATTCGTTTCACTAGCCAGAACTGGCAGGAGCTGACGCGAGTCTATGGATCTACGTTGTTGATGTCGTCTGGCCGCCATCCAGAGACTAACGGTCAGACAGAGTAGATGAACAAGATCCTGCAGCAAGTTCTGCGCATGTACATTAGACCCGATCAGGTCAACTGGGACGAGATGTTACCCAAGGTAGCCAGTGCATACAATAACAGCGTGCATTTGTCCACCTGTCGCACTCCCAACGAGTTGCACAAGTCCTTCAGACCGCGTAGACCGTTTGAGGGACTGAACCGGGATCAGATCCGCAGGCTACTGCCCGGTACCAGGGAGTTCGCAATACAGCATGAGAAAGAGATAGCCACTGTTGTTGAAAACCTCAGGAAGGCCCAGCACCGGATGATAGAACAGGCTAATAGGCACCGTCGCCCATCACAGTTTCAGGTAGGCGACCTGGTCTGGGTCAAGTCTAAAGAGTTTGCACCTGAGAAGAACATCTCGCAGAAGTTACTGCCTGCGTATAGACGACCGTGGCCGGTTCTAGAAGTTAAGGGCGGAGAGGATGGGCCGTCCTACACCATAGAGATCACAGCACACCTCCACACCTACCCTGTGTTTCACGCATCAAAGTTACTGCCATGTGTCACAAGTCAGCAGTTTCCCTCTAGACGATCCATGATCCCTCCAGACATGGACGGAAGATATGACATTGACGGCATTGTAGGTGAAGATGTGTTCAGGACAGGAGGTAGAGGTCGTCCACAGAAGCAGTATAAGGTCCGGTTTGCATACCAGGAACCGGAGGATGACCGCTGGTTCACGAGAGCGGAACTTATAGAGACAGCTCCCGATATAGTTAGGGCCTACGAGAGAGATCAGAGAGGTAAAGGTCCTGCCTTGGGCTGAATTATTCTCGGAGGACCTTGAATTTAGGCCGGCGGGAGTGAAACGGTATTCACCAGTTCGCAGTAGCTGATGCAGATCCCAGGGCTCGATCCCTAGTCCCCAGTCCGGTCTAGAAGTCGTAGCTGTAGCTTTCCCGAAAGGTCAAGGTCGTAGCTGCTACAGTCCGGAAGGGTCAAAGTCGTAGCTGCTACAGTCACGAAAGGCCAAGTCTACGGCCTTCCGGAGGTCCCAGTAGTGGCCTTTCGAAGTTGCCCACGTTTAGACTGAGGCAAGTGGGCAAGTGGTGAGGCAAGTGGTGGAGTCTGCCCGTGCTGAGTCAGCAGTCCCAGTCCTAGGCAGTCCTGGTCCAGTCAAGCAAGTACCGCATGGGACTGTGTGCACTTCGGGCATGGGAAAGGGCCAGACCAACGAGCTGCAGAAGTAAAAATCAAGAGGCAGCGCCCAGCCATTCATTCATTCCTGCGTGAGCCATGCGGAAGCGCTGCCACAGCGACTTGTGCAAGGAGGTCTGCAGTGAGCCCGAAGACGAAGTGGGCAGAGAGACGAAGCATAGCCATAGCGATAGGGTAGAGGCGGCCATAGCCGCCATAGCTGTAGTTAGTGTTCAGTGTGTGTGTGTGTGTGAGGGAACAGAGTGTTGTGCGTGGGATATCCAGGGTGATCCACTGTATGCGAACAGAGAGTTGTATGGGTGCTATGTCGCCATAGCCATTGGAAGTGAACTTGTATCTGGGTTGCCATATCTCTGGAGTACTGAGTGGGCGCACGTCGCCAGTTTGCTGCACTACTGTTTGCATGCATGTAAAGTGTGAATGAAAGCGAGTCTGATTGCATATATAAAAATCTGATTTATAGGTTGGAGAGTAGACGAGTAGGAGGATAGGATGTAGTGAGTTAATGCAGGTCAGATGAGAAGTGCTTTCTGGAAAAATGTCAACGCATAAGCTAAACCGACTGAAGCTGTCGGGATAACTCCGGATTGAATTGTGAGGTCCCTGGCCTCGTTCTTTTGATGATTGGAAATGAAGTTCAAAAAAAAAAAAAAAAAAACTAGGCTACCAGAGTGACCCGGGACCACTTGCCCGGCCGGGCCAAAAAGGATTAAAATAAATAAAAATAAAATTTTATTTTTCAATTTTTATTTTTATTTTTAAATTGGTAAAGAATTTCAATATGACCCTGAGGCAAAAGTTGTTCTGTTTATTTTTCTGCATAACATAGCTTTTTTTTCGGATTTTTTGGGATTTTTTTTTTTTTTTTTTTTTTGCTGGGACCATCCGCACGGGCAACACAAGGTGACCCGGGCGGCCCGGCTGGTAGCCTAGAAAAAAACTGATTTATGGGACAGTGCCGACCCTGTGTCCCAACCCAAATAACTTCGGGAACTGGCAAAACATCGTAATTTCCCAACACTGGCGGAGGTACTAGTGGTTTAAAAAAATAAAAAATAAAATAAATAAATAAATAAATAACAAAAATGATGCGCTACGGCCAACCAGGGGGGAACCGGTCCGGTTCCGGTTGGGGGAGGGGCCCCTGGTCCTACCGGGTTTACAGCACTGGTTTATCTTAATCTTCCCTCTCCATGTATGCATCTATAGGCCTGTATCGCAAGGGATCACTAATCCTCTTTCCATCATCGAAACTCGATGACAAAACACAGGCCACTACAACTTTTTTTCTTCTTTTTTCGTTCAAAAGGGCAACCACCTTGAGACACCATCCTTGAACTGACCGGCCCCACGTAATTCAGAATTAGTTAGTTCAGTTCATCCGATTGCATCTGCATTCGGACTTGGGGTCTGTTTTTCAACAGTTCATGGGTACCAACTGAGCTAGGCCCGTTGGTAGGGCCACTAGAACTTCAACAACAACGCTACAATAGGAAAACATGAAAGCAAACACTGCCATGGCAAAAGTTTTCTTTGCAGGTTTATTCCATTTCAGGGGCCTGCGATGAATGAAGCACACAAACCTCTCATACTCCGTTGAATCTTCATCCTGCAAGGTGCTGAATACCGGACCCATGCTTCGCCTCCCTCCATGATCACCCTGACTGGATTGGCCCACCGAAGCCTGCAACACAGTGAACGCATGGGAATAGGATAAGCATGCATAGGGTGCAACACAGTGGGCAGACAGAAAATCCTATATAGACATCGCACTAGACATATAGACACCTATAGACACCTATAGACACCTATCGACACCTGTGGACTAGACCTAGACAGCCTGTTTGTCAGCGACCTACCTGAGCCTGCGAAAGAGCAAGCACACAAAAAATCCTATACGGATAGGATGGACAACTGCAGACTAGACCTAGACAGCCTGTCTATCAATCAGGGACCGACCGAAGCATGCAAACTACCGTCCTCACCCGAATAGAGCGCCCGGTAATTATCGCCGTATCTGGGCTGAAAGTTGTGCCAAATACAGCTATAATGAACGGGCGTTCTATTCGGGTGAAGACGGTAGTCAACGCACAGGGATAGGATAAGCAAGCATAGGGCATGACACAGCGGAACAGGCAGAAAATCCCATAGACATAGGACTGGATCTTTAGACACCCGTGGACTAGACCTAGACCACCTGTCTGTCAGCGACCTGCCTAATCCTGCAAAAGAGTGAGCGCACAAGCAGACAGAAAATCCTATATAGACACGACTGGAGCTATATGCACATGTACTAGACCCAGACAGCCTGTCTGTCAGCAAGGACCTCACAGGACAGATAGAACTCTATCTGTAGACATATGTGGACTGAATACAAACATATGCGGACTGAATACAGACATATGTGGACTGAATTTAGACAGCTTGTATGGCAGCAGGACCTCACAGTACAACACATACCCACTAAAGAGGATAGGCACTATTAGGCAGTCAATATCCAGTTCATCCACATGGTCCTAGCTGGCACAGGGCCACAAAGTGCAGGGTTCAGGCGGTTCCGGAACCACACAGTTTAGACTGGCCAAAGCTGGCACTAAAAAAGACCCTTGAGGAGGCGGGTTTCTTTTTTTGCTTCTCTTTGTGATTTATGTGTGTCATCCTTGCACAGGAGCCATGCTAATCTTCTGTGTATCGTACCAACATCAACGGCTGTCCCTGGAAGGACTTGGGTTTTCTTTTTCTTTTTCATTTTCCGCCTTGACTCATCCGAAATAGGCAGATAAATGGGTAGGTATTTGAGCCAGATGACAAGGGTGATTCTTTTTTCTCTTCTTTCCCTTTTTTTGGCCCATCTGTAAAGACGACATGGGTATTGAAAAGGCAGATGGCATGCTTGAGCTGAACCAGTCACAAATTGGACATTGGGCCAGTGGCACACATTTTTCCACTTCCTCTGGTCTGAACCAGCCACAAATTGGACATTGGCCCAGTGGCACACATTTTTTCACTTACTCAGCTCACCCATAATCAGTCCTCCGCACCAGTCACAGCCTTTCTTCGAGCTCTCTCTATTACCTCTCTGCCCCTCAGCGTTCCCAACAAACTGGTAGAATCTAGAACACACCTGATTGCTTGCACAAACTGAGGGAGTCCTCGCACTAGGCCGTTCTTGGATGCATCTGACCGCAATTAGGCCTTGTCTTGGTATGTATCTGACCGCCATTGCGTCCAGAGCTCATTCCAAAAAGTTCTACTGTTTGCCCTGAGTCAGAATCATCATCATGCAATCAGAATCACCATCGAATCAGTATTATCACGAAATCGTACCTGTCAATGGCGGAGTGAAGGGCAAGCCCTACTGGTGCTACATGCTATCAAACCACGATTATGACCAGTGGGTCCTGGGAATGATCCACACCTCAACATGAAGATGTATGAGTCTCCAGCGCAAACCCTGTTGAAGGAAAATAAGACTAAGTGGATGGGGGGGAGGCTGTCTCTTATACACATCTAGATGTGTATAAGA